ACACAATCCTCCTGCCTCAGACTCCAGAGTGTTGGGATTACAGGTGTGTGCTACCACTACCTGCCAGTTGCCCATTTTTTGATTGGGTCTTTTATTTGCATGGGAATCTATGCTTTTGAGTTTTTTATGTGTTCCTGATGTTAGTCCTCTGAGAAATTACTGAAAAAATATTTTCCCCATTCTGTGGGTCTTCTCTTCACTTGGTTGGTTGTTTCTTTTGTGGTGCAGAAGGTTTTTATTTATTAGGAGCCTATTTATTGATTTTCAGTATTATTTCTTGAGCCACTGGGGTTCTGTTAAGAAAGTCCATACCTATGCCTATGGCTTCAAGAGTTGTACCTACTTTTATCTTCAGTAGATTAATTGTTCCTGTTTTGACATTTGGATCTTTGATTCATTTAGATTTTAGCTTAGCACATGGTGAGATCTATGGGTCTAAACTCCTTATATGGCGTGGATTTCAATTTTCCCAGAATCATTTATTAAAGAGGTTAATTTTCCTCCAGTGCATGTTTCTGGCTCTTTTGTCATAGATCACTTTATGTGCCTGGATTGTTTCTTCTTCTTATATCCTGTTCTACTGATCAACATGCTCACTTTTCTTCCACTACTGTTCGGTTTCAATCCGGTAGCCTTACAATATAACTTCAAGTCTGAGATTGTGATACCATCTTCTTTGCTTTTGTTACCCAGGATTGCTTTTGGTATTTTGGCTCTTGTCTGATTCTGTATAAATGTTGAAATTGTTTTCTGTAGTTCTGTGAGAAATAACATTGGTATTGTGGTTGGGATTACATTAACTCTGTACATCAGTTTTGGAATAGCTATTTTGATTATATTAGTTCTGCCACACCAGGAAGGGGGGTACTTTTTTCATTTTTCAGTGTCCTCCTTAATTTTCTTTTTAATCTGATATTATTATTATTGAAAGGGTCTTTTGCTTCCTTAGTTAAGTTACAAATAAGCATTTATTTATTTTTTGGATTCTATTATGAATGCTATGTTTTCCTAATTGTTTTTTCAGTGAGTTCGTTATTAGCATATAGGAATTCTACTGATTTTTGTGTTTATGTTGTATTCTGCTACATTAAATTATCAACTCTAGATTGACTTTTTGTGGAGTTTCTTGAGTTTTGCAAATAAAGGATCTTAGGGCTGGGGATTTAGCTCAATGGTTCTACAGCCTACCTCATAAATAAAGGATCTTGTCATCTGCAAATAATGATATTTTGATTTCATTCTTTCCTGTACACATTCTTTTATTTTTCCTCTTGCCTGATTGTTCTGGCTAACGTTTCAAAGTGTTTGTTAAAAAGGAATGGTGATAATGGACAACTTTTTCTTGTTCCTGATTTTAGAGGGAAGACTTTTTCTTATTTAATATAATATCGGCAGTAGGTTGGTCTTAAATGTCTTTTGTCATGTTGAGATAAGGTCTTTCTATTCCCCTTTTATTCAGGGTTTTGATCATGAATAGATGCTGGAATTGTCAAGGGCTTTTAATGCATCTATTAAGATGATTACATGATTTTTGTTCTTGTTTCTGTTTATGTGATGATTACATTAATTAATTTATGTATGTTGTTGAACCATCTTTGCATATCTGGGTTGAAGCCCACTTGGCCATAGTGTATGTACTTTTTGATGATTTGTCACCAGTATCTTCTTGAGGATTTTTGCATCTATGTTCATTAGAAAAACTGGCCCATAGTTCTCTCTTTTGGTTGCCCCTTGTCTGACTTTGGGATCATGGTAGTATTAACTTCTGAGAATTATTTTGGAAGTACTCTTTCTCTTTCAGAATTAAAAAGTTTGAGGAATGTGGAGGTTAGATCTTTCCTGAAGTTATTACAGAATTTAGCGCGAATCCATTAGGTACTAGTTTTATCTTAGTTGGTAGTTAAAAAAAATCATTGTTATTATTACTGCTTCAATCTCATTGCCTGTTATTGGAAAGATTGTTCAAGATTTTAAAGTCTTTTTGGCCCAGTATTGGTAACTTGTATGTATCTAGGACTCTCTCCATTTTTTCTGAGTTCTCCAAATGTTTGGCATATGTGTTTGTGAAGTAGATGCTGATAATGTTTTGAATGTTGTTAGCATCAATTATGATTTCATTTTTAAATTTCTAATTACATTAAATTTTGTATTTTCTTTCCTTTTTCAGTGATACTGGATAAAATTTTGTCTATTTTATACTTCCTTTTAAAGAATTAGCTCTTCAATTCATTGATTCTTTTTATTGATATTTCTAGTCTCCATTTCATGCATTTCTGCTCTGATCTTTATAATTTCCTTCCTTGTACAATCTTTGGGTTTGGACTATTCTTATTTTTCTAAGATCTTAAGGTACATCATTGAGCTATTTATTTGGGCTCATTCTATTTTTTTTTTTTTTTTTTTTTTTGATGTGGGCACTCACTGCTATACACTTCCCTTGTGGGATTGCTTTCATTGTGTCTCATAAATTATGGTATGTTGTGTTGACAATGTCATTTAATTCTAGGAACTGTGTTATTTCTTTCTTAATTTTCTCTGCGATCCCTTGGTTATTCAAGAGTGTGCTGTTCACTATGCATATGTTTGCACAGTTTCTGAGGTTTCCATGGCTATGGCTTTCTAGCTGCGGTCTGAAAAATAAGCATGACAAATTTTTTATTCCTTTATATTTACTTAGGCATGCTTTATTAATTAGTTTGGGATCTATTTTTGAGAAAGTGCTATGTGCAGCCAAAAAAGAATATGTAGTCTGTTGTTGGATGGAACACTCTGAATATATGTTAAGTCCGTTTGTTTGATAGTTTTGTTCAACTCTTATATTTCTTTTATAGATTTTTTTTGTTTAGTTGATCTGTCTACTTGGGATAATGGGTTATTAAGATTCACAGTTATACTTATATTGATGTTTGTGTAATCTTTTATGTCCATTACAGTTTTTTTTTAATGCTATGGTTTGGTAAATATATGTTTATAATTGTTTTCACTTTTGGTTGAATAGTTCTGTTAACTGATATATAATATCCTTTGTCTCTTTTTGCCAGCTTTGGCTTGAAATCTACTTTGTCTGAAAATAGGGTAGCTGGTCCAACTTGTTTTCAGATTCCCATTCATGGAATATTGACATCCTTTGATTTTTTTTACTCCATGAATTTCTTTTTGTGTTAAATAGGTTTCTTGTGTATGGCACTGGATTTTTGTTTCTTGATAAGTTCTGCTAATTTCTGAGTTTTGATTGGTGAACTAAATCCATTTATATTGATAATTATAAATAGACATTGATTTACACCTATCATTGCATTACTTATTTGTGTGTTTTTTTTTGCCTCCAACTCTACTTAATTACTGTCTTTATATGATGTATTCATTTTGTTGTATCTTTTGGCATTGTAGGCTTTATTGTGTCCTACGATATACCTGAAATTTTTTTGGCATGTTGGCTTAGAAGTCATGATTTTTTTTTAACTTTTCTTTATCATGCAAGTATTTTATTTCTCCATCAAGTTTGAAAGATACTTTTGCAAGATATACATCTAGGTTGGAAATTGTATTCCTTATGTGCTCAAAAGAATTTCATTCTCTTTTTGTCTTTGAGGTTGTGTTGAGTAATCTGTTGCAATTCTGTTAGGTTTTCCTTTATAGGTGATTCATTGTTTTTCTCTAGAAGGCTTTCAGATTCTGTTCTTGTGTCGTGTTTCTGCTAATGTATTTCTGGTATTTTAATCATTGTGTGGTGTGAAATATTCTTTCCTGATCATGGCTCTTCAGTGTTCTAAATGCTTCATTTATCTATAAGTTAATTTTTTTCACATCTGGAAAGTTTTCTTCTACTAATTGTGTAAACATTTTTTATGCACATTGTGCTGTCTTCTGATTTTTTATTTTTTTTGGCTGTTTCAATTACTCTTGTATTAGGCCTCTTTGAGTTCTATAGGAGCTGTTATATCCATTTTTCATGGTTTCTTGTTTCTTTAAAGGTATGTATCACTAATTGATCATTGATCATAGTCCTGTCTTCTAGGACAGACACTCTCTCTTCATGCTAATTTCAATCATGTTTTTAATCTCCTGTATTTCTGTCTCAAACTTTCTTATGGACTTTCATTGTTTTCTGTATTGGACATTCATGATTTGCATCTCTTTCTTTAGCTCCACGAGCTATTTCTTAATATTTCTGGACTCATTGATCATTTTTTTCATTGTGGTCATTATATGATCACTTATATTTTAAAATTTGCCAAGTACTTTGTAGAACTGTTTTACCCCCATTGTTACCCTTTTAATCTATCTGCTGTGTAATTTATGATTTTTTCCCCTCTCATTTACTTTCCTCACATTGCCCCCATGCCAATTTTCATGGAATGAGGAGTTTTTGTTTCCTTGGCTTTTCATGTTTCTATTTGTTGTTGTTGTTGTTGTTGTTGTTGTTGTGTGTGTGTGTGTGTGTATGTGTATGTTGTGCTTTTCACATTCATTGCTTCATTCCCCTATTCTTTGAGAGTGAGCCACAGTATTGTTGATGATATCTCCATACAATCCATACTGACATAGAGAGAAAGCCAGTTACTGACCACTAATATTTAATTCTGTGTATTTCAGTAAATTCAATGACAACAAATGGCAGCAAATGCGAACTGGATACTGACAAACTGTAGGAACCACTCACCAACAGATCTTCACCAAAGCAAAGGGGACTGATTTTAGTGAAGAAAAATGGGCCTCCATATATTGAGCTATCATCATACAGCGCACAGATTTCTGTTGAATGTTGGCAGCAGTATCAAAGCTCAAACAAACTTCTAGGTTAAATTTCTTCAGGACTGCTCTCTCTAATGATTAATTCCACTGATCCCAGCTTTCCACAACAGAGTAGAGGCCATATATCCTCCTAGGCTGAGCCCAGTCCTCCCAGGTGACATTAGAAGATTCCTATTTGGCCTTCACCCTCTCCACATCTATCTCCCTAGGCTGTCTCTCAGCTAGTCTTTGTGGAAGGGTTTTACTTCATTCCTGAAGTGAGACTCCTTCTGGGTGTTGGTCTCTTGTTCAATCATGTTGGTCTGTTGGTTATTGACCATGTTGTCCAATGCTGTGGAGAACCCAGGGACCGGGATTGGGGCACTTAATTCCTAAGTTTTCTGGGTTCAGGATTGGGTCCCTGGCAGACCATACCATTGGGGGATAGGGTGAAGGGGGCTTCCCAGGTCCTCTGGGTTCTGGGTCCCTGGTAGGCCATAGCTGGGGGTTGGGCAGGTGGTTGTGGAGGTTTTTGTTTTGTTTTGTTGGTTTTCTGTCTATGTTATTCAGGATGGCCTTGAAATCGCTGTGTAAACCAGATTGGCCTTAACTCTTGGCAATCCTACTTTAGTGCTGAGATCTCAGGCATGGCCAGATCAAAGTGAGATTTAAGGAACTGGTTAGAGATGAATTCCAGGGTAAAGAACCTTAAGATCACAATAATTGTCACTGTTCATTGTCATTTGCTGAACTCTCCAGTTCCTCTGCCAGGAAGAACGGACCCATAAAAGAGTGAAGAGGTAGTAGAAGGAGCAGTTTCTTTTGATATTAATTCAGGTCTAGAGGAACAAAGTAGGCTCAGAAACCAGCTGAAAGCTACTGATAAATACTATCTTTTTCTGAAACTTCTCTCTTCAGCAAGCTTTTTCTCAGGTACTTCCAGAATTTGTGATCTGAATTGCTGAGACTAGTTTTTAACATGAAAAGTAGGTAAATATTGTTTCAAGACAATATAAGGTAAGGCAATGTTGGGGAATGCAGAAGTCAAACTTAAAAAACCTTTCTCTTAACTGCTGTCATTGCACACTAGGCCTCAACCACTCACTCTCCCTTATACACTGAACTTCAGGATAACTTGTCTCCCAGTTCTCATAGAATTCATGTTTCCCTCATTCTTGAATACTTTATCTGGGGGAGGATTTGTTTTGTTTAGAAGAAGGAGCATTTGTCCTATTCTACCTCATTATTTTGGCAAAAACAAAATCTGCACAATACACACACATGTTCATAAGCATGCACAAAGTGTATATGTGTGTGCACTCATAATGACCCCATACTTGGAACTTTCTAAGCAATTTATAAGTGAATAGCTATATTTGTTTACATGTGAGATACACAGAACAATGTAAAGTGATGTACAAAACTTTACATTTTTATTTGCTTAGGAGATTATTGGGGACAGAATGCCAGATTTTTTTTTATTCTTTATAATGGGAAATAGCTTGTATAACTATATTTTGAAATGAAATTGCAATTGCCTGTGTTTAAACTAACTTGGACCAGAAGATGGCAGCATAGTAGCATATTTGGCCTTTGTTGCTTTCCCTTTACACTAGTATAGGCCATAGTGACCTGCTGCTTCCCCAGTTCCTGGATTTAACTATTAAAAAATTACATTAACAGAGCTGCCTGTCTGCCTGCCTGCCTGCGACCACCCGGCGGCGTGCACGGGAGCTCCCGGCCTGCGCGACAACAGACCAGGAAGGCCCCAAAGACCCCGGAGGGGG